TCAGTGAACCCAAGAGCGAAGCCGTCTGGAGTTCCAACTCCTGTAAGGCCACCCATGATGGTAAGATCAAAGAGAAAAGACCAGACTGAACGCGAACAACCTCAACGGCGGAATAGGCAAATATCTTCAGGATCTCGACGAACAAACCGGCAGAAAAGGCCATCGCCAGTCGGGTTGGCGTAAAAAAGGCGCACCTTGACAGACCAAGCATCCAACAGCCCGATGCAATCAGGTTAGCTAGATCTCGCTTGTCTCAATCCCCTTTGAGCTGCGAGGGAGGCGCTTCTGGTCAAGATTGTGTGCTTCTCTGTCGCGCAAAATCAAATTCACGCGAATGGCCTCGTCAAACCCTCTCTGATTTACAGCCATCTCCGCCACCGCCAGCAGAGAGGAGAAAGGGAATGGGGAGAGAGAATGATGATCCCGATGATCGGATGCAAACGGGTGCTGACAACAAGTAACGGTAGATAAAGTAGTAACAATAGTTCAATTATAGTTATTCAAATATCCAATGAGGTCTGAACTTAACTTGTCAAAATATTGTGATGAGAATGCATCACTTTTTTTCGTCAATGAGGCTTCTTCCATTTACACAACTCTTTTATTAAAGCTGCTGTCTACCCCCAGGACCGTGTTCCCAGTAAACTGTAGTCAAGTCAAAACATTGTTTCTATAGCTTCACTTTGTCAAATACCAAGCTATGGAAAAATAGCAGGACGGGTGGTTCCTATAGCCTTGGGTGGCAACCGGTCCAGGAGAATGTCAACACTGAATTCAAAACTTTCAACTATGAGTTAAATTGCCTCAACAGCACGCAAGAAAGAGGATCATCCAACAGGAGTGAGAAGAGAAAGACGTGGTCAATCGGAGATGATTTCTCAACAGGAGTGAGAAAGACCTGATCAATTTGAGAGGGGTTCCTCCAACAGGAGTGAGGAACACATAGTCAATCGGAGAGGATTTCCTCCAACAGGAGTGAGAAAGACATGGTCAATCAGAGGGTTTCCTCCAACAGGAGTGAGAAAGACATGGTCAATCAGAGGGTTTCCTCCAACAGGAGTGAGAAAGACATGGTCAATCGGAGAGGGTTTCCCCCAAAGGATTGAAAATGCTCTGGATCTGTTCTCATGAGCTTTTGTAGAAAATTCTGTCGTTCATTTTTTTTTTATATTAAAAATCCGAACATCCGAATTCCGAACAATAATAACATAGAAACAAAGAAAATATAGTCTCACGCCTGTTAATTAGATCATTTGTATTTACAGGAATATGTACATGAATTCAAAAGAGTGAAAAAGGAGTACAAATAGTCTTTAGTTGAGTTGAAGTCTTTGGATAGGAAAAATTTGTTGTTTAGAAAAAAACTTTTAAATAGCTGGTTCACAGTAAAAACAAAAAAAAAGTTAGAGGTTGAGAAAAGACTTTGATCGTCAGCGAAAATTCACTAACCTTCCATGCTGTTGTTGTTGGAGATGATTCGTTTGATGTCGACGATACATTTTTTTTTCAACACGGGCTGCGGTGGGTAGCTATGTAGCCACGTCTCCTCTTTTGTTTGAATGAAGTCAACCGCATATCTGCTACTGAAAGTCGAAATCTGTGGGTTTTTATAAGAATTTCTTCCAGAAAGTAAGGTATAGAAAAATAAGTTTTTAGTCTTCTCTGATTGATCAAATATTTCACATAATGATGTTAATTTCTAACCAGTAGACATTTTGATTTAAACGGTGTATGTTGCATCGTGGAATCTTTGTCTTATGATTGTAAATGTTGCGTGTCATTGGGTAGAAAATAAAGTTTGGGTGTGTTTTAATATGGTATGCGTGTGGGTAGGTATTTGTGTTGGAAATAGTTTATTTCCGATACTTTCATCCCTGGCATCTTTATTTTGTTAATCGAACGAATATTTTAGTCACGCAATAATTTCGCAATCTTTCTTTTGGGGAAGGATAACGCAGACCTTATACTTAGAGCAACGGCCTGCATACGGATAGAAAATGAATTTGGTAAATATACAAAAACAGAAAGGGGCGTAAGACAAGGATGTGTCTTCTCACTTTAGTGTGTTGGCCACTTCTATAATTAATGTATAAGGTTCCTACAGGGTTTATAAGTTGGTGTTGATGTATTATTTTCCCCGTTGTAATTATTTGTTGACTGTAACGGGGTTGTTATTAATGACAGAAATTAAAATGCATAAAACGTACAACGATAACAACAATAAAAACTTGAGACACGTGTTGACATAAATAACAAGAATTTGTATTTTCTTTTTGTGATGTGAATTACAGAATATTGGTATGGTGTGTGTAAAAATGTTCTCAGTGTCTCTTTTGCTTAAAAGTCAGTGCTTACTTGGTTTTGTTCTGAGAATTTCGTTTGTGAGGATGGCGTTTAAATATCGTTTGTTTTCGATCTTCACGGAGCTCTGGCTAGACATGTGTTTCTGTACTGCTACTCCTCTACTCACCACAGACTACAGTACAGGTACCCTGGTCTACTCTACTGTTCTCTACTCTACTGACTCTCTCTTGTGGTGGAAAGGTTGTTTTTATAATGATGAGGATTAGGATGATGAAATATCCTTCTTTTCTATGATCACTGATGACAAGGTTATTTTTAGAGTGATGAAATATCATCATTATTCTTGACCATAACAAAGGTTTCTACGGGAATATTTTACATGAATTAATGGTAATGAAAAGGTATATGCACAAAATAACAGAGACTGATTTGCAATGCAAGATAACATTTATAAAACAAAATTAAAAAAGTAGTTTAAGATTAGTTTGGTTTGTTTTGTTTTACGGCATATCAACCTTAATGGGTTATTTAATACCGACAAAATTTTTATTGCTGGTAATATCCTGTTTTGTCAAAAATCCATTTCTGGTAATAATTCTTTCCTTCAAAATTGTATTGCTGGTAATAATCTTTTTCAAATACGTATTGTTGGTAATTTTTCCTCTCAAAAATGTATTGCTGGTAATAGCTCTTCTTCAAAAATTCATTGCTGATGATAATCTTTTACAAAGCACTTCCGGTTCCAAAATTCACCCCCACACATTAACAATGCTTCCACCTCAGTTTCGGTGTTAACTATTTGCTGGGACCCTAACTAACTATAGCTGGGACCCTAACACGTGCTACCACCCCGGGTCAGGGTGGAGCTGGGAACACCAGCAATTAAGAGGTGGTTCCTGATCCGAGGCCTTGCTGCTGGACGTAGTTTATCATCATGCCCAGGACGGTAGAGTTTAAGACTTTCTTTTCCAAGAAATAAATTGAATGCCCAACGAAAATTGTTAATGAATGTATTTGAGTGTGACTTCCCTGTGTAGGTGTGTTTGTGTGTGAAGCGTCCACGATCATTTTGGATTCGGTGTGAAAAGTTGATGGCACACACTTTGAAAGGAGAGAAAATAAGAAAAGAGAGTTACTTAACGGTTTGACATTTTTTATACCCTCAATGCTGCTGCTGATGGTATGTTTATTAAGACATTACATCACCAGACTTATTCAACTTTTACACTACAGTGTAACAATTCTGAGATAATTAAAAACCCTGCCAGGATTCATTATTCGCGATCACAGCCTTAATAACATAAGATATCCAGATGACACAGTATTGATAGCAGACATAGAAAGGAAACTACGAGAACTCCTCCAGGAAGTAGTAAAGGAAAACGAGAAGAAATGACTAAATTTTAAGAAAACAGAATTGTATGGCAGTCAGCAAAAAGAAGAACCCAAAATGCGAATTACATATTGGACATACCAAAATCAAGCAAGTACAAAGATTTAAATATCTGTGACGTGTTTTAACAGAGGACGGAAAGTGCGACACCAAAATTCAAAGTCGCATTGGGATAGCGAAAAATACCTTTCAAAAGCTAAGCAAAGTATTAAGAAACAGAAACATATTATTAGAAAAGACTACTGAACTGTTGTGTAATATCGGTCCTTCTATATGGCAGTGAATGGTGGCTAATCTCATCGCGGATGAAGAAGATACTTGAAACAACCGAAATGTGATTCTGCAGAAGGATGCTGAGAATATCATGGACTGAACATATGGGCTATGACGAGGTTTTAGAGGAAATGGAAACAAAAAAGACACTTATGCTTAATATCAGAAAGAGACAGCTGATTTTTTAAGGCACATAATGAGGAAAACGGGCTCAGAAAATTTGACACAGGATATATTGATGTCAACATTGTTTTGGTTTGGTTTGTTTTGTCTTACAGCATATCAACCTCAATGGGTTATTTAATGCAAACAAGATTTTTATTGCTGGTAATATATTTTGTTCAAAATGTATTGTTGGTAATATTTTTTTCCAAAAATGTATTACTGGTAATATTTTTCCCCCAAAATTGTAATAATGTATTTCTGGTAAAACCTTTACACGTTTTAAACCCAGTTTGGGGGTTAACTATTTGCTTATAGCTGGGGCCCTAACAGGTGCTACTACTCCGGGCCAGAGTAGACCTGGGAACACCAACAGTGAAGAGGTAGTTCCACACTCTTCAAAACCTCCAGATCATAGGCCTTCTTGTCGGATGGAGTTTATCGTTTCACCCAGAACAGATCGTCATACCCAGGACACTGATGGCAAGAAGGACAGAGGAAAACAGTACATAACGATTTTGTGTAAATGGTTGGCAAAATAGGGATTGGGAGATATAGCAAAAAGACAAGCTTTTCTAAAAGGGCTATAAAAGACAGGAAGAGACAGGGACATGATGGCACATAGAAGTGTTTCGATTGAGATGAAACGCAAATGCTACTTAACAAAGGGAAGTAATTAAGAATAAACTTTTGATCAAATTTTGTTATTAGCATTACCTCCCTTGATTGTCGGTTGGACCACGTCGGCACGTCTTTTAGTCTGCTCTTGCTGGGAGTATTTTCCTATCCGCATCTAAAATTTAACACTGAATTCAGTTTAGACAGACAAAATTCTAAAGGTATATTAATAATACTTAGCCATTCCATCATGTCTGTAGAAGAATTGCAGAAAAAAATTTCGCTACTGAATGAGAAAGTGGCATTTTTAGAGAAACAATGCCGATCGGTAAAGAGAGAGAAAATTGACGAGATGAGCTCTGAAGTTGTTGATTCAAATCCTTACAGGTAAGTCTTTCTTTTTTTTTTTTTTTAAATACTGATAATCGATTGAGTAATAAAATTATTGATTTTATATCTAATTTCACACTGTGTTTAAATTAGATTCTAACTTAAAAAATACTTCTCTTTTTTACCCAAAACAACAAACCATATGTTTTTTTTTTTTTTTAATTTAAATTCCTTGCTTTCTGGTTGTTAAATCGATATTAATTCTTGTTTATTTTCTTATAAATATGTCTTTTTTATTGATTATTCCTTTTTTAGGTGGCATTAATTATTATATTTCTAAGTTTCACATTTAATTTTTATTTTTAATCTAATTTCAATTAGCCAAGAACTAGAAAAATACCATTTAGTTTGAAAAATGTGTATCGTAATTTTAAAAAAGTAAAAAATGAACTACGAAGTTTTGAAAAAGTATTTTACGAATTTAGCAGTTTATTTTTTACTTTATTTTAATTCCATTATTTTTAGCCAAATTTTATTTATTTGGGCATTCATGAAAGAAAACTTCTCTTAATTTAAAATTCATAAACATCAAATCTGAGAAATTTAACTTTCTTTTGATTTTGAAATTCTATAAAAATTGTCAACGTGATGACAGAATTTCTCTTTGATTTCAGTCAATGCATGTTTTTATTTTACACGATCTGCATATTTTAGTTTTACCGTAAGTCATCCAGTCGAAATGTTTTGTAAAGAAAGTTGAGCAGCTAATTAATTTAACATGGAAATAGACTGAACTTGTTTTTTGACTGAATTGTAAAATACGTAAAAAAAATCATCATTTACCTGACCATATGTTAATTTTTTTAGCCACATGTCCCCCACCAAGAAAAAAAAATGACACACCGGGGTTTTTTTTTTGGGGGGGGTTTCAATAGAAGCTAAAAGACGCTATAGTCACCAAGTAAAAATTTTTTATAGATCATTTGGAGTGAGTTTGATCCGCACTGAGGGCTCTATATGTGTGGATAGGCTTCGTAAATAACAATAGGAAAAGCTGTATTCTTTCTTTCAAATTATTCTGCATTTTTTGTTATTTGGTTACTTTCGTAAAAAATAAAAATGATTCCCTATTTTTATATTTGCTAAACAGCCACAAATAGACCACAAGTGCTGAGTACCCAACGAGGATCGACACTCACTTACACACCTAATAATCTATAAGACAGGCTTGCTAACCATTACAATACATCTTGGGGTGACACCATTTTATATGGTAGGCTGGACATTCAATAAGAAACTAATCCTAAACATATCAGATACCTCATTCATCATAAACATTTTAACAGTAACTCTCTACCTTGAGTGACTTTCGAGCCTTGTCTTAGACGGATCGCTTGGGAATACATGGTACTATAAGCAACGTCCTACAATCTAAAATATATTTTGGTTTGGCTTTAAATAACCCACAAAGGGTTTGATAAGCTGTAAAAAACAAGAACAAATGAATCACTTAGTCTTGTATTGGATGAACTTTAGTATTAAAAGAGCAACTGTCATTATTTGTTCAAATCTTGCATGTCATAGGGAGTTTGAGCCTCATTGGGTAACCTTCTATGATGGCCCTTCATAAACTCAGCTTCTTCTCTCTTTCTTTTTGTTTTCTTTTTGGGTTTTTTCAGCCTATATAAATCATGGTTGATTTTTATGATTTGCAGGAGTGAACAGCATTTACAGCATGATAAACAATTGATCAGTCTAAGGTTACAAAAAAGTTTTCAGTTTTCTAATTAGGATAATATTACTCGTCCTTCCAAAGGAGCCATCTGTCTAAAAGAAAAAAATCACAAAAAAAAAATGCTATTATAAAGCCATAGACAAAATGAATCATACAGATGGCTCAGAAGCAAGCAATCATGTGACACAGAAAATAATTCTAACTAAATTCATCTGGGGAAAACACTACTTTTGCATTGATGTTTTTGGTTATGTACAGAAGGGTTTTCCACTTTCAAATGTGCTTGTCCACAACGAGAAAGACCCAGACAAGGAGATGTAAAACAAAAAGAACTTACTCCCTTTTGTTGAATCTATCTACTTCTTTCCTTCTTTGCTCTTGATCACTTAGATGGGGAACTGCTTGGTACCAACGGGTACTATAACTGACTTCCTACAATCCAAAATATGTTTTGGCTTTAAATGACACATAAAAGGGTTGATAATTCATAAAAAAAATCAAATCAAATTCTGCTCACCTAGATCAAGGACTGCTTTGTACCAACAGGTACTGAAATTGACTTCCTACAATCTGAAGTATGTTTTGGCTTCAAATAACACATAAAAGGGTTGATAATTCATAAAAAAATTAGATGAAATCCTGGTCACTTAGATGATGGACTACTTGGTACCAATGGGTACTGTTATTGACTTCCAACAATCCAAAATATGTTTTGACTTTAAATAATGCACAAAAGGGTTGATAACCCACAAAAAAACAAAATCAAGTAAAATCGTGCTCACTTAGATGTGGGACTGCTTGTTATGAATGAGTACTGTAATCGACTTCCTACAATCTGAAATATATTTTGGCTTTAAATAACATACAAAAGGGTTTATAATCCCAAAAAATTAAATTGTTCCTTCTCAATAGAAATTTCAGGAATAAGTTGCATCAACTACTTGAAAAACAAATAAAAGTTTTCATTGTTTTGTAACTAGGATGTTGTTACTCGTTCTTCCAAATGAGCCATATATCTAAAATATAGAATCTTAAAAAAATGTCTATTAGGAAGCCATAGTCGCAATAATAATAATATAGTTGGCTCAGCACTAAGAAATCAGATGAAAACAAATCTGTATTTTCAGTCGATAAGAGCTTCAAGACTAAGGTTATTTTCTCTGTTTTTGTACTTCTTCACCACCTCTTCTTTCAATCCATCTAAATCATGGATGGTTTTATGATTTTCAGGACTGCACAGCATCAACCCATCAATTTGCCAATGCTTTAATCTAAGGCTATGAAAAAGTTTTCACTATTGTAAATACCTACTCGGCCAGTTTACCATATCAAGCTAAGTTCATCTTACAATCAATTGTGTTCTCATTCTGCTTTCATATCTCTGTGCTGGATTAAACAAAGCTTTGTGGACACTTGCTGTAGAACAGGAGGGATTAACAAGTTAGCTTTGTAGTCCACCGTAAGTGAATTTCTTCTTCAGTGCTCTGCTGTTTTTTGTTTTGTTTTTTATACTAATATTCACTCAATACAAGGCCCAAAAGACACTCAAGGTAGAGGGTTTTTATGAATGAAGTGTGTGATGTAAAGTGAAGATTATAAGGATAAATAATGATTGACCCCAGAAGAAGTTAAGATTTCAGTGTTTGGGGAAGCATCCAAGCAAGAATATGTTCTAAAAAGTGCAGGTTCATTTGGGAGAAGTTTGCCCATCTTATAAAAGAAATAGCTAGGGAAAGGAGGAAAGGTGATTCAACCTTGTGGGTCATGGCTGTAAAGGTGTGAACTGATGGCACTAAAGAATGGAGATTGTATGAATGTTTGCCATGAAAGTAACGATAAGTGTGTGATTTTGCATCTGTGGAAAAGGGAATGTCGAGTGGAAATTGTCATCCATCAGAAAACTGCATAAATCATTTTGAATTAGAAAGAGAGCATTGAGCAATTCTAGCCCATATATGGCAACAATACTTCATTTTTGATCCGACTCTTCTAAAAACAAAGCATGGCAGAAATCAATACTTTCTGGAGTGGTACAAGGAACTGACCAATGGATCATACAGATCAGTTCCACTTGAGATCTGGGGAGAACTTTAGTCCCAATAGACATTTAAAGCATTGTGCCTTGTTGAGAGTTCAACCGTTCATCATAAGTAAAGGACACCTTGTACTACACAGATCCAAGTTCAATAAATATATAAGTTGCCGGGCATTGAATATTGTGAAGAAATTAATCACTCAGTAAATAAAGTCGGATTAAAAAAAATCCATTTAAAATTTATGAAATTTGAACATCAAAGCTGGAAAGCAAGGTCCAGCACAGATATGACAATACTTCACTTTTAGTCTTAATATGACTCTTGTAAAAATAAAGCAAAGCAGAATTGAAATACTTTCTGGTAGAATGAACTGACCAATTTTTCCAGCATCTTTAGTGATGAATCATATAGATGAGTTCCATTTGAGTTATGAGAACTTGAGTGCTAACAGACATTCAAAGCAAAGAGCCACATTGAGAGTGCAACTGTTCATCATGAGTAGAGGGCCCCTTGTACTAGACAAGTCCAGGTTGAATAAATATGTGTAAAAGTTGCTGGCTATTGAACTTAGAAAATTAACCTTCCAAGTTGTTTGGCAGAGAAAAGATGGATTCATGCCTTCCTCAGTGAAATTAGTATAAAAGCGAATGCAACAAACAAGGCTGGAATTTGAACTCTGATTGCCAGTTTCACTTTCTATGCTGATAGCCATTACACTACCTGCACATCCTTTAGCTTCATGAAGATCCAATCTTTATTCTAAATATGCTTCTGGAGACAACATTAGAAACATTTTCTATTCCCAAATAGGAAGTTTTATGTCAAAACCTTTAAAATTATCATTTTCTTCTGAAGACTAGTTAAAGACACTTAGGGGTGGTTGTCTGAAAGAATTGTTCCAAGTGGAAAGTGGTGACACAGGTACTTTCTTTTTTTTTTTTTTAAACAGTGAGGTTCACCTTGTATAAAGTCCAGGAAGGTGACAGTGTAGGAGGCATAGTTTATGTGGACATCTAGGGAACTTAACAGTTAACCCCAGACTTGAACAGGTTAAGATTGCAGTGATCAGGCAAATATCCTCTTGGAGGCCAGTTCCATGGAGCAGTGGTCGCAGGAAGAAGCTGTTTGAGTGGTACTTACTACTCACCAATGGAATATGGAAGGAAATGAGGGTGGTTCTCTATTATTTGCACACACACTATTGTCTTCATTTTTGTGGTCATTATCAAAAATGTTTTGACCATTGTACCCTCCAGCCAAAACTGTGATAACAACAACAACAAAAACAACAACACAGATGAAGACAATAGTAAATGCGAAAATCATGTAAATATGAACTCATCATTCCAGGAATTCAGGCAATGCTTTTGTATTTTTGGTAAAATTTCAAGCATAGTTCAAAGTGTTCCCCACCCCAACTGAAGCACAGAAATAAAGTAAATGAATTTATTTCATTCTAAATTTCTGTTTTAAAATCAGCTTTTACCAATCCACACTATTTATATTGTTCAAACTATCATCCTCATCTTTGCTGTCATATTTATTACAATGTTTCGGCCATTGTACACTCCAGCCTTCTTCAGGTGGTTGGACACATGGCACAGTGGATAAATGTGTTGGTTAGATCCAGTGACGGGACCCAAAGAATGTGAGTTCAATACGGTGGAGAACTTGAAGAGGGAAATTAACAGGAGATAACTAACAACTGACATCCATTAGACATGGCACATGGAACTAGAACAGTCTACCCTAGCAAGGGTAAACTGTTCTCCAAATAAAGGGTTCAGTTCGACATTCCAACCACCTGAAACATGCCGGAGCATGAAACGTTGTAATAAATATGGCAACAAAGATGAGGATGATAGTCCGAACAATGTAAATAGTTTACATTTTACCAATCCTAATTAAATTTTAAATTAATTTATTTTATTTCTGTCCTTCTGAAAACACTGATGACTATGCTTGCAGTCTTGCTTAAATTCTAAAATCATATTTCTTCAGAATCATTCTTTCTGACTCAATACAATTAATACAAAATATTATATAAGTAACAAGTAGATAATAGGTTTACCCCATTAATGCCAACTGTAAAATTTTATAATAAAAATTAAAATTAAGAAACTGATATTAATTTTAGGTCCTTTTATGGTCCCCTTTGTTTATGAAAAAAATGAAATTTAAAGGTACTATTTTGTGTCTCTTGGAGAAGTTAACTAACCTTTGACCTTTTTCATTCTTTTTCTTATGTTAGTTTCCCAACCATTCTTTATCAATATTAAAGGTTAATGTCTGACTGTAGATGAATGAATTTATATTGCACTAATGATCTTGAGAAAGGCATGAATCTATTTCTCCCTTTCATGTCAGGAATTTTTCTCTACTGCTGATACCAAATAATCATGGGTCTATGGCTATAACACCGAAACCAAGGCCCAGTCTTTTCAGTGGAAGACTCCAACCTCTCTGAGACTGAATGAAACATGAATAAGTTAGAGCAATGTGAAGAGACACTTCTCTTTGACTACAAGAAATTTGTTCATTTAGAGTATGCTTCACCAGGTCAGACAGTAAACATGGCATGCTATAGAACGCTGTTTGTCGGAAAAGGACAGAATTGCATACATCCTGTAAATGACAAATCCACCATGACAACTCACCTGCCTATTCAGCACAGCAGTGTTTTTTTATCCAAGCAAGACATTTTCCAGGTCTGGCAACCACCATATTCTCCAGATCTCACAATCTTGAGATTTTTTCTTCTTCAAAAGTCAAATCCCATTTGTAAAGAACAAGATTTCAAGACGTTGAGGAAATCCAAAGAAAATGCGATGAGGCAGCTGCTCACTATCCCTAAAAGGAATTCCATGAATGCTTTCATCAATGAAAATGATGCTGGATAAAGTGTGTGGCTTCAGAAGGGGACTACTTCGGAGGAGATTAAATACTAAATTGATATGTGCTATAGTTTTCTTTTTATAGCACAAGTCCCAATACTTTTTGATCAGCCTTCGTAT